TAATGGACACTTGTTGGTCTGTTAGGGGTGTAGCTGTTGGAGTTCAGCCTGTGATTGTGTTTTAAGATTAAGATGCTTTGGATGTGGGGAATGATGTCAATGAGGGTCAAGTTGGAAATGGTTTGGTCAATGATATTAATACAGAGAATAACATAGAGATGCTGGTTCAAAGTGTAGTTTCCCATGAGAATGTTCCTATAGGACACAGGGATGAGAGTTTACTCCCTGAATTGCTCCCAGAGTTTTCCCAGGATTTGGGGCTTGAAAACAACTTGGCACCTGCAGGGACTAATGAACGTATAGACAGGCGGATGGAAATTAGCCAAAACAGAAGGCTTGACCAAGGCCTTCAGCATTCTGCCAGGCTTTGACAGATAAGGATGAGAGGCATTCAGGGAAAATGAAACCAATTTCTGAGTACTTGGAATGGCTTAATGTGAGGAAATAAAGTTTCACGCATGGGAAATATAGTCAGATGAAGCATCGTTTCAGATTCCTGCTAAGTTCTTGCTCCTGTCTCATGGAAACCTTGCTTGGAAGATTCATGTTTAAGGATTTCTTGCTGTATTTCTTACTCTTTGTCTCTTGTGATTACCTATTCATACCTTGGATTAACATTTCTCTGTTTCTTTGGATTTTATTAGAGAAGGCTGGACTTTGTTTTTGAACTTTGCTGAACCATACCTTGGACTAATTTGTTCCTGCTTATCTTCTTACCTAATTGGATTTACCTTTTCCCTTAAGTGTTTTTCTATTTTGCTGCTTTTACTTATCTTCAATAAAAAAGGGTTGTTTTCCTACTCAACGTGTGGTGTTTTAAAATTATTCCTGTTCTGGAGTGTAACAGTAGTGTTCAAATTTTGTGTCATTTTCTCCAGTGGTTTTTGAGTTATATTAATCCAACGGATGAACATTACATTTTCATTTATACAGATGGGCCAGAGATGTCACTGCCTTGGTCCTTTCATTATTGGCTGCTACTTCCCGGATCGATGTCAGACGGTGCAATACCGGCCGAACAGTATAATTTCTCCAGTGGTGTGGGACACAGACATCCTGTGATAATGTGCCATATCTCATTAAGAGCCACATCCACAGTTTTAACGTGGTGAGATGTGTGCCACACTGGGCATGCGTATTCAGCAGCAGAATGCTGAACTAAGGCCCTGGAAAAACAGTTTTTGTATCCCACTGGGTAACCTTGGGCAAATATTATTCTCTCAGCCACAGAGGAAGGCAAAGGCAAACCTTCTCTGAACAAATCTTTCCAGGAAAACTCTGTGATATATTCACTTGAGGGTCAACATAAGTTGGAAATGACTTGAAGGCACACAAAATCATGAGTCATGATCTTCTCATACTCACGTATTTAAGAGAAAAACAGACCCGCAGACAACATTTTACTTTGCATTCTTCTTAATAGCATCATTGCCTTTTCATATCATGCAAACTCCTAGTCATGCAAACTCCTCAACAACTGAAGAATGTCAGTCTCAGATATCCAAAGAAATATAACAAAGTAGACAGCATTCTACTAATAAAACAGATGAGAATGTGCCCAGAGCTCTACATAAAGAAAGCTACTAGACTAGTTTGAACTGAACTAGCTTGATTTTAGAGAGCTACGTCAAATGAACACACCCACTGGTCAAGACCTTAAAAAATATGGACAAGGACATGGTTTGCAACAGGTTCTACAATAATACAATTCCTTAAAGAAAATTATGTGAAAGGATATAAATATAAGCATGCAAGATGCACTTCCTTTATTGATTATCTCTATGTAAACATGGAGAGAATTGCTCTGTGCAGAAATCACACCAGCAAAGAAGAAGACTTTCAATTTAAGATTTCAGAAGCCATTGAAATCCACAAGCATGTGGACAATTTCAACAGAAAGGAAGAAACCATGAAAATGAACAAAATCTGGCTACCAGTATTTAAAAAACTCTAAAATCAGGACAATAAATAAAGAACAACACTTAAAAACAGGTGCGTTCCAGGTAAGAAACAATCAGGGCCAGCTAATCACATCCAACAGACCTCACAGCCTATGAGGATGCCTGCCATAGATGTGGGCAAAAAATTCAGGAGAGAATGCTTCTGGAACATGGCCATACAGCCTGGAAAACTAATAATGTTCTATTTCTACTTGAATAAAGACAGATTTCTTTGCAAAGAGACATGTCAAAATATTCCCCCTCCCCGACTGAACTGACACATGTACTTCAAGAGTACCCAGAAGTAGTCTATGGTCTGAATCCTATCCACTGCTGAAACTAATGTAGACCTGATTAATCCCAAAGACTTCCGGATGGACAAATCTATACACAGGGACCACCAAACACAGTATTTCCCAAACACAAAACACATGAAAGAAACGGCAGACTCCTTCAACCAGAGAAGTCAGCCATAGCAGAGCACCTGATGAACCAACCTGTACACAGCATATTATTTGAGAACACAGAAATTCCGGAGCACTCTAAGAACCACCATGTCAGACTACATAGAGAAGCCATTGAAATCCACAAGAATGTGGACAATTTCAACAGAAAGGCAGAAACCATGAAAATGAACAAAATCTGGCTACCAGTATTACAAAACTCCAAAATCAGGACAGTAAATAAAGAACAACACTCAGAAAACAGGGGAATTCCAAACAAGAAACAATCAGGGACAGCTAACACCTCCCAACAAAGGATTTCCCCAGGCAAGAAGCAGCCAGGTTTTGGAGCTGCAAGGCTATTCAGTGCTAATCAAAGTGGCCAATTGCAACATTCATACCTGCCTGGGAGAAAGAACAGACCAGAGTTTTTCCCCCCATTCTGGACACTCCATAGATAGATATATACCCAATTTTCCTAGTTTCCAACAGACCTCACAACCTATGAGGATGCCTGCCACAGATGTGGGCAAAAATTCAGGAGAGAATGCTTCTGGAACATGGCCATACAGCCTGGAAAACTCACAGCAACCCAGTTATTCCGGCCATGAAAGCCTTTGACAACACACTTCTCTATGTGTTGACTCAAAATTCAACAACTGATTTAACAAGTCTACTGTATGGAAATACCAATAGGATGTAAGCCACCTCACTACCTCTGAGGATGCTTGCCATAGATGCAGGCGAAATGTTAAGAGAGAATGCCTCTAGAACATGGCCATATAGCCCGAAAAAACCTACAACAACCCTGTAAGCCACCTGTTTTTTAAGAAAATGCAAGATATGGAAGGTGACAATGATGATTGGCATTCCAAGAATTCAAATATGCTACAGAAAGCTTTTGTATAAATCACTCAGAAGATGCAGGAACAAGTAAAAAATCGTATTTTATCAACTCTCAAAATGTTCAAATGGACAGGGTCAACCAAGAAGCAACATTTCCTTTCCAATGAAAGGAAAACAGGATATTAAGCCAAAGACACATGGCAAATCTTATGGACAGCTGGATTTCCTGTACGCAAGCCTTGTAATTTGGCTGGTTTTCATATTTGCGACATCACACCTTTTGATTTAGTCCTGATGAGAATCGCAAACACAATTCCAAATCTCTTAGAAACCATGATTTGAGACAACTACGTAACTATATATTGTCCAAGGCTGGGTTGCTGTAAGTTTTTCGGACTGCATGGCCATGTTCCAGAAGCATTCTCTCCTGACATTTCACCTACATCTATGGCAGGCATCCTCAGAGGTTGTGAGGTCTGTTGGAAACTAGGATACATATACCCTATTTTCCTAGTTTCCAACAGACCTCACAACCTTTGTCAAAGGCTTTCATGGCCGGAATCACTGGGTTGTTGTAGGGTTTTTTTCGGGCTTTATGGCCATGTTCTAGAGGCATTCTCTCCTGACGTTTCACCTGCATCTATAGATATATAGATGCAAGCGAAACGTCAGGAGAGAATGCCTCTAGAACATGGCCATATAGCCCGAAAAACCTACAACAACCCAGACCTCACAACCTTTGAGGATGGCTGCCATAGATGCAGGCAAAACGTCAGGAGAGAATGCTTCTGGAATATGGCCATACAGCCTGGAAAACTCACAGTAAATATATGCCACTGCTATTTTTCATTGAGATAAACAGCATTGCAAAACAACAACAACAACATTACATTTAATTCAGATATTAATCAGATATGAAAAAAGATACTGACAAAAATTGCCTCCAAAGCCCATTTTCCTAGTTTTCAACAGACCTCACAACCTTTGAGGATGCCTGCCATAGATGTGGGTGAAACATCAGGAGGGAAGGCTTCTGGAACATGGCCATACAGCCCAGAAAACTCACACCAACCCTATGTAAATATAGGGTTGAGCTAAACACCACTGCAACAAAACATTACATATAATTCAGATATTAATCAGATATATTTTTAAAAGATACTGACAAAAACAGCCCCCAAAACAGCAGGCACATCATGGTGCACAATTGTCACATTGCTACTTTTAGGGCCCTTCTACACAGTCCTATATCCCACAATATATCAAGGCAGAAAATCCACAATGTCTGTTTTGAACTGGGTTATCTGAGTCCACACTCAGATAATCTGGGATTTTCTGCCTTGATATTCTGGGACATAGGGCTGTGTGGAAGGGTCCTCATAAACAACAGAGGTTGGAATGCAAGTAAAGTAAAATGTTGGTAAGTAGTAGGACATTGAGAGCAACTAATTATGGTAACAATAATATATTTCCTTGTAAAGCCTTTGCTAGATTGTTTTTATATTCTGAGCACAGTTACACAAAGTTACATCAAGTTTTTGGAGCTGAAATTTAAATGACTCTTAACTAAATAATACCTGCTTGCAGCAGGCAGGGGCCAACTTGGGCCCTCCAGGTGTTTTGGACTTCAAACTCCCACAATTCCTAACAGCCTACCGGCTGTTAGGAATTGTGGGAGTTGAAGTCCAAAACACCTGGAGGGCCCAAGTTGGCCCCTGCCTGTCTAAGACGCACCTCAGGAGCCATAATGGCCCCAAAGGGGGAGATTTACCTGAGCCTGGCGCTCTCTCCGGCCAGCTTCCTCCATCCTCAGTCCCTTCCCTTCCTTCCCTTCCTTCCCTTCCAGCGCCGCGGGCAAAAAGGAAGGAAAGAAGGAAGCAAAGCGCTCAAGAGAAGCCACACGCAGCCAAACACCAAACTTTGCCGGAGGAGGCGGGGTTGAGAGGCATGCAACCAATGGCGGGCCTGCTGATTCATTTCAAGGCTCAGGAACTCTTTCTTCCAATGCATCCTCGAAGGCTTTCATGGCTGGAATCACTGGGTTGTTGTAGGTCAGTGGTTCTCAACCTTCCTAATGCCGCGACCTCTTAATACACTTCCTCCTTTTGTGGTGACCCCCAACCATAACATTATTTTCATTGGGTTGTTGTAGGTTTTTCCGGGCTATATGGCCATGTTCTGGAGGCAATTTTTCTCCTGACGTTTCGCCTGCATCTATGGCAAGCATCCTCAGAGGTAGTGAGGTCTGTTGGAAGTAGGAAAATGGGCTTATATATCTGTGGAATGACCAGGGTGAGACAAAGGACCCCTGTCTGCCGGGGCTAACAGTGAATGTTTCAGCTGATCACCTTGATTTGCATTCAATGGCCTGGAAGCGCCTGGGGGGAATCTCTTGTTGAGAGTGATTTTATGTGCCTGTTTGTTTCCCCTCTGTTGTTTTGCTGTTGTAATTTTTGAGTTTTTTAATACTGGTAGCCAGATTTTGTTCATTTTCATGGTTTCTTCCTTTCTGTTGAAATTGTCCACATGCTTGTGGATTTCAATGGTTTCTCTACGGTTTACAGAAAACCCACACACACAGATAGATATCTACATAAAAACTCCAACCATCACCCAAGTCAAAAAGAAGCACCATTAAAGCCTTGGCAGACCGTGCAAAAAGAATCTGCGAACCCCACCTCCTCCAAGATGAACTGAACCTCCTCAACTGGGCTTTACAGGCCAATGGAGACTCCACCTCAGACATCAGAAGAGCTGCAAGACCGAAAACAAGCCACAAGACAAAGATCCACCCAGAGGGAAAGTGTTCTTGCCATACATCAAGGGAACCACTGACCGCAGAGGGAAGCTGATGTGGAAACACAACATACAAAGTATCTCCAGACCCACCAAGAAAATCCAACAAATGCTATGTTCAGCAAAGGACAAGAGGGATCCTCTCACTTCTGCAGGAGTCTACCGTGTACCATGCAGCTGTGGACAAGTCTACATAGGGACCACCAAACGCAGCATTGCCCAGACACGAATCAAGGAACATGAAAGGCACTGCAGACTACTTCAACCAGAGAAGTCAGCCATAGCAGAGCACCTGAAGAACCAAACACCATGTCAGACTACACAGAGAAGCCACTGAAATCCACAAGCATGTGGACAATTTCAACAGAAAGGAGGAAACCATGAAAATGAACAAAATCTGGCTACCAGTATTAAAAAACTCAAAAATTACAACAGAGGAGAAACAAACAGGCACATAAAATCACTCTCAACAAAAGATTCCCCCGAGGCACTTCCAAGCCATTGAATGCAAATCAAGGTGATCATAGCTAGACCCAGCAGACAAAAGTCCTTTGTCTCACCCTGGTCATTCCACAGATATATAAACCCATTTTTCCTACTTCCAACAGACCTCACTACCTCTGAGGATGCTTGCCATAGATGCAGGCGAAACGTCAGGAGAAAAATTGCCTCCAGAACATGGCCATATAGCCCGGAAAAACCTACAACAACCCAGTGATTCCGGCCATGAAAGCCTTCGACAATACATTATTTTCATTGCTGATTCATAAATGTAATTTTGCTACTGTTATGAATCATCGTGTAAATGTCTGAGATTCAACTCTGCCTGAGCTCTGCGAGCGCAGCATTTTTCTGAATGAAGCAGAGAGTGTTTGAGGACCGGGACATCCGTAGGGATACCAAGGTGTTTGTTTATAAAGCTATTGTCCTCCCAACACTGCTATATGCCTGCAAAGCATGGACTGTCTACAGACGTCACATGCAACTCCTGGAATGATTCCATCAGCGCTGCCTCCGGAAAATCCTGCAAATCTCTTTGGAAGACAGGCAGACAAATGTCAGTGTGCTGGAAGATGCAAAGAGCACCAGCATTGAAGCGATGCTCCTCCGCCATCAACTCCACTGGACCGGCCACGTTGTCTGGATGCCCGACCACCGTCTCCCAAAGCAGTTGCTCTACTCCGAACTTAAGAACGGAAAACGAAACGTTGGTGGACAGGAAAAGAGATTTAAAGATGGGCTGAAAGCCAACCTTAAAAACTCTGGCATAGACACTGAGAACTGGGAAGCCCTCGCTCTTGAGCGCTCCAGCTGGAGGTCAGCTGTGACCAGCAGTGCTGTAGAATTTGAAGAGGCATGAATGGAGAGCGAAAGAGAGAAATGTGCCAGGAGGAAGGGACGTCAAGCCAACACTGACCAGGACTGCCTTCCACCTGGAAACCAATGCCCTCACTGCAGGAGAACATGCAGGTCAAGAATAGGGCTCCACAGTCACCTATGGACCCATCGCCAGGACATTAACCTTGGAGGACCATCATCCTCGGACTATGCGTAAGTAAGTAAGTAAGTCTGATATGCAGGATATATTTTCATTGACTGGACCAAATTTGGCTCAAATACACAATATGCCCAAATACTTGTGGGGTTTATGGAAGGGATTGATATTGTCATCTGGGAGTTGTAGTTGCTGGGATTTATAGTTCACTTACAATCAATGAGCATTCTGAACCCCACCAACGATGGAATTGAACCAAACTTGGCACACAGGACTCCCATGACTAACAGAAAATACTGGAAGGGTTTTGGTGGGCATTGACCTTGAGTTTAGGAGTTGTAGTTCACCTCCATCCAGAGAGCACTGTGGACTCAAGCAATGATGGATCTGGACCAAATTTGGCACAAATACTCAATATGCCCAAATGTGAATACTGGTGGAGTTTGAGGAAAATATATCTTGACATTTGGGAGTTGTAGTGCTGGGATTTATAGTTTACCTACAATCAAAGAGCATTCTGAACTCCACCAACATTGCTCTATGGGCTGTGTAAGGCAAATCTTCCCAGTGCCCTTCCAGACAGGCCCTATATCCCAGGATCTGATCCCAGGTTTCCTGTTTATCCCAGATTATCTGGCAGTGTGGACTCATATAATCCAGTTTAAAACAGAAAACCTGAGCTCAGATCCTGGGATATTGGGCCTATCTGGAAGGGCCCTAGGAAGAATTGCCTCACATAGCCCATAAAGCAGGTTTTAGGACACTGTGTGTTTGAAAACAAAGAATGATTGCATCAGACTGGCAATATCTTTTCTCCAAAGGTCGCAAGAAGGTGCATCGATTGCTCACCTTCCTTTCTGGAGCGGATGTCGCTGAGGCATGAAACTTGAACTTTTTGCTCTGCCTTGGGCTCTCTTGCCCCCACTTTAAACCGGACGTGGCAATGTTTTCAGACAGGCCCTAAAGTCATGCAGGTGTTGTTCTGAAAGGACTGGAATTTCCAGAGTTGCAGTACAATAATTTGTTCATTTAGAAGTTGTCAGAGGACAGCATGGTGTAGTGTGCATATTTCAAACTCAAGGCCCCCAGGGCCAAATCTGGCCTGCTATGTCATAGAATCATAGAACAATCCAGTCCAACCTCCTGCCATGCAGGAAAGGCATAATCAAAGCACCCTGAAAGGTGGCCATGCAGCCTCTGTTTAAAAGCCTCCAAGGAAAGAGTTTCAACCACACCCTGAGGCAGAGAGTTCCACTTCTGAACAGCTCTTACAGTCAGGAAGTTCTTCCTAATGTTCAGGTAGAATCTCCATTTCAGTAATTCAAACCCATTGCTCCTCTTCCTAGGCAGCAAAAAACAAACCTGCTCCCTCTTCTTTATGACATGCTTTCACATATTTATACATGGCTATTATGTCTCATCTCAACTTTCTCTTACTTTCTCATACCCAGCTCTTTAATGTGCACAATCATAGGGCATAGTCTCCAGATCTTTGATCATTATTCATTCATTGATTTATTTACTTTATTTATATCCTGCCCTTCTCATCCCGAAGGGGACTCAGAGCAACCTTGCAATGGGCAAGAATCCAATGCAATGTAAACAACCATGTCATTTCATCATTTCAGTCACCTCCTCTGGACTCCTTCCAGCTTGTCAATATCTCCCTTCAATTGCAGTGCCCAGAACTGGACACAGTATTCCAGGTGAGGTCTAACCAAAGCAAACTACAAAGGTACCATGACTTCCCTTAGTCTAGACACAATATTCCTTTTGATGCAGCCCATTGAGTTTTTAAGCTGCTGCATCACACTGTTGGCTCATGTTCAACTTGATGTCCAGAAAGACTCCAAGACCTTTTTCACATGGACTGTTGTAAGAGCCGTTCAGCAGTGGAACTCACTGCCTCAGTGTATGGCGGAAGCTCCTTTGGAGGCTTTTGAACAGAGGCTGGATGGCCATCTGTTGGAGTTACTTTGTTTGTGCTTTTCCTGCATGGCAAAATGGGGTTCTACTGGATGACCCTTGGGGTCTCTGTGCCAGTTCTTTGACTAGAGCGGATGGGAGTTGTGATACAGTAACATCTGGAAGGCTGGAGTTCATTCTGTTTAGTCAGGATAGTGGGCTTTGAATTTAGATTCAAGGCTTGTGAATTTGATGTCTGACTTTAAAATGTCCTTTAACTTTTCCCCAGCCTCAAAGTCACAAGTGCAGTTAAGTTGCAACTCCCATTATCCCCAGTTTAGGTGCAAGTACATGTGTGCTGGATAATTCAAAGTCATGGGACTTGTCAATCAGTAACAACTGGGGATCCAAATTGGGTAAAATCTAACGAGCACTACATTAAAAAATGGCTCAACTTCTCAACCTTTATATTTATAAAGAAATACAGTTTTGGATCCTCATGGACCAGTTCAGAGCCTTGATGGGAAACACACTTCAGTTGGTGAAGTGCAGACACCTGGCTCGAGAGCAGTATGTGGGAAAAAGACCTTGGAGTCCTCGTGAACAACAAGTTAAACATGAGCCAACAATATCAATGGGATTTTGGCTTGCATAAATAGGAGCATAGTGTCTAGAACCAGGGAAGTCATGCTAACCCTCTATTCT